TAAAAACTAAGTTGACTGGGAGGACTTATCGCAATGGGAATCTACTAGGAAGATGGATCGGGCGTGTCAGTGATAATGATAATGTGATGTTGAAATGGCCACCACGTTCACCTAAGAGTCTATATGAAAGCACAGATCTATATTCCCTCATCTTCCTACAAGCCTAGAGTATTTTCAGGTAATTCCGGCTAAAAAATCGAATCGCCTGAACATACTGAAAGGTTGAAATCAAGATAGCGTGATCTGCTGATCGCTTAAACTTTTTAATTTAAATATATATATATATAATCAGTTAATATATATATATATATATTAACTGATTTAAAATATGTTTTTTCGCTACACAGTAATAACCATGTTTCAAAAATGGAAACTAAAAACTTTAAATTTAATTATATAATTAAATTAAAAGCATTAGTTCCGTTTCATCTTCAAGCGAATATTATTTATGCTCTGTAAATTTACATTGTCCACTGTTTTGTAAAAATAAAAATAAAAATAACAAGAACACCGGATTATATATCTTACTGTTCTTTCTTTTTATTTATATATACATATCTATCTATCTATTTATTTCTCTCTCTCTCTCTCTCTCTCTCTCTCTCTATATATATATATATATATATATATATATATATATATATATATATATATATATATATATATTATTAGTATTAGTATTAATTCTGTAGGTATAAGAAACTATACTTGTTCGGAAAACCTTCGGTACCTTGATTTGCAAATAATCAAACCAATACCAAAGGGACAAAAAGGTATAAAAAACAAAGAACTAAGAACATGTACGTCAGCCGAAAATAATCGTCCATCATACAAGTTCAAAGCCCAAAGAAAAAAAACCGATACGAGTACGCAATACAGTGTAACCCGGATATAAGAGACCCGGATATAAGAGAAACTCGGATATAAGAGAAACCCGGATATAAGAGAGATTTTCTCTGGTCCCAAATTAGAGCCTGTGTTAATGTATATAAAATAGACCAAACCCGGATATAAGAGACTTCTTCTCCGGTCCCGACAACTCTCTTATATCCGGGTTACACTGTATAACTAAATAAAGTGCTCAATACAATTATATATATATATATAGATAGATAGAGAGAGAGAGAGAGAGAGTGAGAGAGAGAGAGAGAGTGAGAGATAAAGAGAGAAAATATAATATCTGTACTAGATTGATTTTGATATCAACGATTTGTAATGTATATTTAGGGATCATCTTTTTTCCTGACAACCATGCATTTTGTCTTCTTCTGGTTAATGTTTAGTCCTTTCTTCTTATTTTCCTTCCCAACTTTCTACAGGAGTTTTTTTTTTTTTGTAGTTTTCTTTCCTTGTTGTAAACGTAATTCTATGAAATAGTTTCTTTTCTCTCGCACTTTCCTGTCAAATACGATCTTCAAAAATATGAATGTAATTTCAATTGCCATCTTCTGTCTTTTTGAATCCTGGTCTCTCTGTTTCTTTCATTCTCGGTAAACACTTGCATGCATCCGTGTGGATTTTATTGCTTTGCTTGAGGTGAAATGATAAAACACAAAACCCTATAAGATCTCATCAAATAAAATAATACATTTTAAATCCAACCAGGCGCTATTACACATTGTACGAACATTTTGATCAGGATTGCTTACTCTTTCTTCAAGATCGATTAAAATCAGTCAAAATGAATGAAATGAAAAATAAATAAGGAATTGCTTGTACTGTTTTTGCAATATGCAAATCGAACTAATGTATAGAATACAGGGTGTCCCCAAAAATTGACATCATTTAAAATGCAACTATCTGAGTAAATACATGTTCCAGGCAAACGAAATTAATGTAGGTTTATAACCGATTCCATAAAGCTTCACAAATATTCAATATGCGCTCCACCATGACAGTGTGACGATAAACTACATCCGGCAGCGAGGCCTCTGATTGAGAAATTGGAGTTTTAAAGCGCGTACAACCACATCTTAATTGGTGCTACCACCCTAACAGATGCTACCACCCCCCGGGTCATGCATCACTCCCTCTCCTTTGTTGACCAAGACATGCAAGTGTCGGGAGATGGGAAATACCTTGTATGCCAATGACACATGTATGTACACAAACGCAAAAGATATAGTTTTATGTATGCAGACTGTATATGCATCATATGTATTAACATTAACACTTTCACTCAGACTCACTAGAAAACAATTCACTGTTAATAACTCATTCTTGAATTGCCCCCTTATTCTGTTGGTATAGTAAACCAAAAGGGTGCACATGCAACACATGCCCCACCAAAGTATTACCGTGTCCTATATTTGGAATCATTGGGTTAGATAGTATGATTCGTACCTTTCCCCAGGATATTTATGTACAAATACCCTAGGGAAAGGCTTGAATCCATCTCCCCTGAAGTATGGGTTAGATCAGGCCATTATTACATTTTTTTATTCTTCTTCTATATCTTCTTCTGTGTCCCTTCGTGACGTAGGCGATTATGGCTCTCCACATTTTCCTGTCCTTTGTACATCTTAATAAAGCTTGTCTTTTTGTCACCTCTCCTAAAACTTGTTCTGCCATTCATTCACTCAAGGTCACTGGGTAGGTTATGCGTTGCCGTCCTCTGTCACTCTTGCCGTCAATCTGTCCTGAGAGTATCAAATTTTCCGAGCCGCCTTTCTTCATTAAACTCTCTGATGTTAATTATAAATATCCTTCTTGTTTCCATTTTCTCCAAAACTTCGTCGTTGTTCACATATTCGATCCATGGCATTCTCAACATCCTTCTGTATAACCCCATTTCTCTTGTTTCAAGTCTTTTCTTCCTTTTTAAGGAGATTGTCCAGCATTCACTGCCATATAATAGGACTGATATCACATGAAAGTTCAGTATCCCTTTCTTTGTTTCTAATGAAATTTCTCTGTTTCTTAATACTCTGCTTAGCTTTTGGAAGGCATCATTCGCCATCCTTATGCGCCTTCGGATTTCAGTGTCGCACTTATCGTAATCTGTTAAAACCCTCCCCAGATATTTAAATCGTTGTACTTGTTTGATTTTGGTAATCTCAATTTATAATTTGCATGTTGGGCTGTTCCTTTTTCTAACAACTCTGCATTCCGTCTTCTTGCAATTGATTCTTAGTCATTACTTCTCGTTTTCGTTCTTTTTGTAGGAGTCCTTGTAATTTTCTTTCTCTGTCTGCTATCAACGCTGTTTCATATGCATCTTCTTCTTTGTGCTGTGTCACTTTAGGATGTAGGCGATCATGGCTCTCCACAATTTCATATTCGTCGTTTCTTTTAATATAATTTGTCTCTTAAGCCTTGTTCCGTCTTAATAAGTAGGTTATGCGATGTTTTCCTCTATCTCTCGTGCTTTCAACCTGCCCTGTGAGTATCAGATTTTCCAAGCCCTCTTTCCTTGTTTTGTGTCCTAGAAATTTCAACTGTCTCTTCCTAATGTTAAGTTTCCTTGTCTTCTCCATCAATCAGTTATATGCCATACGTGATGCACGCTTGGGCGATCATGTATCTTTCGATGCATGACTGACGAGGCAGATTTTTTCTTAGTAGTAGTTTGCCATTTCTTTCTGCGGTAGACCAGTTTCCATTCAAAGCTATAGAACCCGGTCTGTCCTGCTATTTACCCATAGCTGGGTGGAGAAGAGGATTCATACCTTTCCCAAGGGTATTAGCACGTAACTGAATTTCAGTCAGTTATGTGCCATACGGGATGCACGCTTGGGCGATCATGTATCTTTCGATGCATAACTGATGAGGCAGACTTTTTTTCCCGCAGTAGGTTGCCATTTCTTTCTGCGATAGACCAGTTTCCATTCAAAGCTATAGAACCCGATTTGTCCTGCTATTTACCCATAGCTGGAGGGAGAAGAAGAGGATTCCTACTTTTCCCAAGGGTATTAGAACGTAAGTGAATGTAATGGATTCGACTGGAATTCGAACTCGGCTCTCCGATTCATCAATCTATCCATTACTTCACCGTGTCTGCATAGTTAGTCAAAATCTTCCCACGGTTCAACCAAATAAAGACTACAAGATTTTCTATCCACTCGATTATAGTTTCACTGCAGCAAAAAGAACCATTGCCTTTTCAATTGGATGAAAAATATATTATCTGTTCTTTTCAATGCAAAATAATTTGAGACCTTAGTGTAAGAACTGTGTAAAAAAAGAAAATAAGTACTCAAGCGGGATTTTCTTTCTTTCATTATCTTTTAATACAGCTTTGCAAAGTGTTTGAAATCGGCTGACTGACTGAGGAAAAAATAATTCCATTTAATACTTTGGATGTCTTCACTCGTTTGTGTAACTTTTCTTCATGGGAAATCTGTACTTATCTGCTCTACCCATCCACGTTTGTTTGTAATTGTATATTTTAAGTCATGACAAGGATCAACAAAATCGGACAAAATTGGAGGTGGGAATCTTGTCACCCATTCACAGTGGCGAGAAGCAAAGGGCGGCGATCTAATGGACGGAAACGAATTTGAAGATATCCTTATGTTGGCTCCTTTAAATTCAACGTTTATAGACAAATTGTAGTTTGTTTAGATTCCATAGGCAACGTGGCATTTTCACAGATAACCCGTGTCTCTGTCGCCTCAATAGCATTCATTTGTATATTCTTCTACTGAGGCTTGAGTTATTTTCATTGCCTTCTATGTCACCATCGACTTCTTGTTACTTTTGGCCGTAAATGATCATGGCTCTCCACAACTTCCTGACTATTGTAGCTCTAAGAAAGGATTGTCTATTAACCACCCGATTTTGTCGCTGCTCTGCCACCCATTCACACAAACGCATTAAGTAGGTTTAAATGGCTCTCCACAACTTCCTGTCTCTTGTAACCCTAACGAACGTTTGACTCTTTACTATTCCTCTTTGTCCGCACTCTGCTACCCATTCACACAAAATTTTTAGGCAAGTTATCACGACTCTCCACAACTTCCTCTCACTTGCATCTCTAAGCAACTTTTGGCTCTTTACCAGCTATCTTTGTCCCCGCTCTGCCATCCATTCACACAAACGCATTAAGTAGGTGTATATGGCTCTCCACAACTTCCTGTCACTTGTATCTATAAGTAACGTTTTAGACTCTTTACTATGCCTTTTTGCCCGCACTCTGCCATTGATTCACACAAAATCTTTAGTTAAATGATCATGGTTCTCCACAGCTTTCTGTCACTTGTATCTTTAAGCAAATTTTGACTCTTTACTATCCCTCCTTGTCCATCCATTCACGCAAAAATCATTAGGTATTTGATCATGGCTCTCCACAACTTCCTTTTCTCTCTAAGCAACTTCTGACTCTTTAGTATCCCTCTTTATCACCTCTCTGCTATCCACTCACACACTCGTTAGGTATGTTACCCGCTGCTTCTTTCTGCCCTTCTGGCCTTCAGTATGTGTCTTGTGATGGTTAAACTGCACAGACCCTCTTTCTTCAAACGCTATTCCAGAAATTTCAACTGCCTTTAGATATCTGCCCTTTAAGCTCCCGTTCTCTTTAAAGTATTTTTTGTTTATTGTATTCGCAGCATTAGTCTGTAAAACGATTTGTATTGCTTCAAGCGCCTTTCTCATCTGTAAGGAAATTGTCCAGCATGCACTGCCATAAAGTTCAGATCTTTGTATAATAGCGCTTTCATAACCCCAAGCAACTACAGCTTCAGTGTTGACACATAAAAATAAAATACTGATAATTGGATGGATACAAGAGAAAGCCTTCTAGCTGCTCTTATTTTTTGAAATTTATTCGTTCCTCACGTGTTCAGTCCATGGTATTCGAACTCTTGTCCCTTTTGCTTCAGGGAAGCCGGGTTGAAAACACCAGATGTTTAACAACTGACCAACAAGAACTTGAAATTAATACAAAAGAGTAAATAAAAACACAACTCCTGCCCTGTCGGTGGGGCAGAGAAAACACCGAAGTTACGCTCATAGATTCAAATATGTGTGATTACTATTTACCTAAAAAATCAGATATAAACAAGAAATATTTACTTATTTACACGTAAATGCTTACACAAATATAAAGGACCTATAGTTAGCTATTCCTGAACAAATAAATGATTATAGACTCAAATATAAATAGCCAATATTTATCAATACCCGAACCAATTAATTGCATACCGACGCCAATATAAATGAACAATATTTTCCTATTCCCGGAGTAAATGCATATAAACTCAAATATAAATGAACAATATTAACAATCCCCGGACCAAACAATTGCATACAAACTCAAATATAAACAACCAATGTTTACTTATCTCCAAGTCAAGTAAAGACATATACACTCAAATATAAAAAAAAGACTTGTTTCGACACTACATGGGTTGACTTTTCATAAAATCAACTAACCCAGCATAACCTAACCTATAACTCATTACTTCATTCGTTGATCTCACGCGGCGCCATATTTGCATTTGTTTTTACTCTAGTATAATTAATAGCAACAGTATTGTATTTTCTTAGATGACGCATTGTCAACGATCATTAATTTTGACTAGTATTTACATTCATCTTAACCTTATTTATGGCTTTTATCGCAAAAATAGAATAAAAATATGACTGCTCACATTTCAGTTTTTATTGATTTGGTAGCAATTCTCTCCATGCTTCATAATTTTCTTTGTTCTTCAGTTGCAGGGAACAATCTTCAGCGACCGACGATCATCACATACCGCCATATTGTGGTTACCATCTAAATCAACCAATCAAGAATCAGAACAGTACAGTAAGGCCCTTAAACGGTTAGGGTTTCAAGTAAAGTTCCTAGAACCAATATTCAGAACACAACGTAAGTAAAGCTATTGTTTATTTTTATCTTTCTCTTTTCACTCTTCCTCCTAATCATCTTTTTTATTTGTTATGTTTTACTATCTCTCTACGTAATAGTAGTCATAGTACAATTCTCCGTGTCCTGAATAGCAACCGGGTATGCTAGGTATAGCTGTCCCCTATATTCGCCAGTTGTTCTCTATTTATACCTGTCTCTCTAATTTGCTCACGATACTACTTCCTTTTTATGCGCCATGTCCTTTCAGGGCGTAGACGATCATGGCTCTTCACCTCCCTCTATTACTTGCAGCTCTCAACAAGTTCCTTTCCTCTGCTTCCTCCCCAAGACCACGTTCTGTCATCCACCTGCTCAAGCTCGCCGGGTATGTCACGCGTTGCTTTTCCTTGTCTCTCTTTCCCTTTATATGACCCGTGAGTATCAGATTCTCCAGGCCCTCTTTCCTCACTCCCAGAAACTTCAGCTGTCTCTTTCTGACTACAATATTCTTAATAGTATTAATTAGATTCATGACATTATTGGTTCATGAATGAATTACTAAGGAATTCTAAGATAGCCTAGATGGTTTAGTGATTATGATTTTTTTTTCTTTGTCTGGTGGCATTGACATATCACATAAAAGAAAAAAAGCCAATATAAACTGATGTATTCTCATTGAAATAATTAGTTGAAAGTTTTATAGGCGGAACTTTGAAATATATTCTCTAGTTTTTAAAATAACGTACAAATGTAATTTTTACAGTGGTAGCCATTAACATATCAAATGTCAATGAAAGGACGGTACTTAAGAAGTTTTTTTTTTTTTTTAAGCATATCACCCCAAGCAAGGCCGTAGTGCCACTAGCACGCAAGGGGTTAGAGCAAGAGTGAAGAAGGGTGTTTGAGGAAAGGATATAGAGAAGGACGGGGATCAGGGTCAAGGCATCAGAAGATGTCGATTGACATTACATTTGAATATTTGAAGATTATAGCTAACAGGAAAGCAAGTAACAGGAAAGCCGTTCCACTCTCAGGAAGGCCGTTACACTCTCAGGAAGTGCGTGAGAAGAAGCTGTCGGAGAGGAAGAGGCGGTTACATTTAACTGTTTCGACAGTGAAAGGGTGGGACCGAGATGCCAATCTAGTAACACGCTTAAATTCATGCATTTGGGGTACCAGTGAAAGTAGCTCGTCTGAGCAGTTGCCATGAAAATATTTGTAGAAACGACAGAAGGAAACCACAGCACGTCTGTGAGAAAGTGACTGTAGACGAGATACCAGACCTATCACATTGCATATATGTCTCTTGGTTTTATCGAGGACCTCGAGATGAACAGCAGGGGCACCAGACTATACATGGGAAAAGTATTCAATGCAAGGACGAATGGTAGATTTGTAGATTTTAAGGATGGACTCTGGATGAGAAGAACGTTTCCCAATTTCATAGTATGGACGTCCAAACAGTCTTAATTACTTTTACTTGGACGTTAAGTTTGTTTTTGTTTACCCTTAACAGCTGTACGGAAACTTCTTTATTTTTAAGCTTTTCACCTCAAGCAAGGCGGGAAGCCACTAGCACGCAAGGGGTTACAGAGAATTGGAGCGAGAGCAAATAGGAGTGATAGAGGAAAGGATGAAGGGAAGGATAGGGGATAGATCAGGGCATCTGGAGACGTCGATTGACATTACATTTGAATAGTTGGAGATTATAGCTATCAGAGAAACAGGAAAAGAGGAGGGAGTTTCACAAGCGAGAAGTGCGAGACACGAAGCTATTGGAGTAGAAGAGACGGCTACATTTAATAGTTTCGACAGTAAAAGGGTGAGAGCGATATGCCTAGTAGAACGCTTAAATTTATGAAGTCTGGGAATCAGCGAAAGCAGCTTATCGGAGCAGTTACCGTGAAAGTATTTGTAAAAAAGACAGTGGGAGGCGACGGCACATCTGCGAGAGAGCGACTGCAGACAAGATGCCAGATCAGGGCCAATTTCATAAAATACCGTTATTCCAAGAAAATAAATACAGTTCGCCTTCTGCATGCCTGGGTAGAATAATGGCTATCGGCGCAGAGAGTGGAATCAGAGTGCCGAGTTCAAATTCCGACCTAGCTTGTTGCGTCCACGAATGCATTAATTCTCTTAAAAAGGCAATGAATTCATTTATTTTCTATCCAGCTGCAGGTTAAATAACTGTTTTCTGTAGCCTTGTGTGACAGCCAGTCTAGCAGAAGAACTAATTTAGATTCGATACCAGAAGCAACTCCAATATCATAACAATTCGCACATATTACAGAAAAAGGTGCTGTGGACATCTATGATCGTCTAGGTCTTGAATGGGTATGGCATTAAAAAAAGTATTTTTCTGAATTCTTGGAATTAGGAGTTACTATTATTTGCATTATTTCCATTCAGGCTAATATCCTCATCTTTATTGTCATTTTCTTTCTGAAACTCTGGACGGACAGAGAAAAGGATATTGTAACGGAAGTTCTATTTAGAAATTAAATTGCCTTATAAACAACATTTTCAGCAAAATTTCTATTTTGTAAAGTTCCTTTTGCCATTATGCAAAGTTCACTTGAATGTGCTACTCTAAACATAGCTACATAAATCTGACTGCGAGACAAATATTTGAATATTTTTTAAATTTTTATAATAATAATAATAATTCAGCAAATTATTTTATTCACTTGTTTAAATAATTTGGTACAATTTTATTAGAATCTAATTCAATAGAATATTTTGATTTATTCAGATAATTTCGTAAAAATATTTTTTGGTATCGCTTAACTGAAATGTCAAACTACAACAATGGTTACTATGAATGCGATTGGAAATCCTACGAAATGCGGTTGCTGCTGAGCTTAAAATTATAGAATTCTATGAAAACTTTAATATTTTGTAAAATTATTTATTGTATCACTACTTTAAAAAAAAGTTATTTTTAGAAACTAAGATTGCATTTAATTTTAAGTAAACACATTTATAGTTTTTCTATTAATTAACGACAGAATTTCGACAAGGTAGAAGTTTTTTTTCCCCCCAGATTTCTTTCTGCAGTAGAACATCCGAGTCTCTAGAACCTGGTCTGTCTTGCTATTTTACCCATAGCTGGGGAAGAAGAAGAGGATTCACACCTTTCCCAAGGGTATTAGCACGTAAGTGAATGTAATGGATTCAACTAGAATTCGAAATCGGACCCGCTATCCATTACTCCACCGTCCCTACAAAAGTGAATATACAGAAATAACATATAACCACTTGGCTTCAGATTCGGTTTTTTTTTTTCTTTCTTTCTCTTTTATGAATATAAGTGTCATTAAACTAGAGTTTACAAAGATGAAGTATTTGATTAGTTGATCGTGAGCTGCGTTGCCTAATCACAACGCTTCTGACATATCATTGGATGTTAGTCAAGAAATATTTCTGTTTCCTGTCAAGGCAATCTCAAAGATCATGGTGGGTCAAACTTACTTATGACATTGCTACGAGTTGCTTCAAAAAAATTACACACTCTCTTTCTATTACTTAAACCTTTTTTCAGTGGATATTTGTGTAGACGCTCTGCTTATTAATTAAACAATATATTTGCCATCCCTGTCTTTACAAATTGCTTTGTTTAGGTTAGGATACGAAACTGCGAAAATTTGTCTGTGTTTGAAAATATGTGTTAAAAGCATTATTCAACTTTGCTTGGTTAACGACGCACCATATATCTGTGAGGTCACAGCACTTCAGATCTACCGACGTTAGGCGAATGCAGGTTTGAATCCTGTCGGAGAGAGCATATATTTTTCTAAAATTTCTCGTATATTCAGTCCGATAGACGAAAATAAATAAATATACTGTTTAATAAATAAAAAATCAGTCGCCTTTCTTTACAAATACTCTCTTTTACAATCCATAAATCTAAAAACATATGTTATTTATTTAGGTGACTTCTTGTATGTGCCGTGCCCCTTCAGGGTGTGGGCGATCATGGCTCTCTACAGCTTCCTACCGTTTGTAGCGCTTAGCAACTTTTGTCCTTTTGCCAAGTCTTCCGCTTATGGTTCCACCATCCATTTGTCAGGTAGGGCGGCCTGCTGTCTTCCCCTGTCACTTTTGCCTTCGATATGCCAAATAATATGTCAAATAATAGCTGAAATAAACTGAATCAGGGATTTTTTCCCGAAAGCAGCGCTAGAATGTAGCCGAAATCCGAACATAATTTGAAACAAGTTCACCAACAGATTGCTCGCATTAAACTTTAAAGCAAAAGGAACTATTCAAGTTGTCTGCAAACATCGTTCCAAAAGACGGTGCGCGCGCCCACGAGCCGCATGAGAAAACAAAGACATCTGGAAACTTAACGTCAATCTCCAAGGAAACCTTTTTGGCAAGCGACTTTTGGTGCATTTCAAAATCAAGTATCACAGACTGAAACGTGCCAAATAGAAAATATTTATTCCAACATGAGCCCACTCTTTCAATGCATATAATCCTCGTGACGTAAGCGTCTATCTATCTTGAAGAGAATTTATCAGGTAGATACCGTATTTGCTAATGTACCATACGACTTGCGTATAACACGGCCCCGTTTTTCTGAATCTAAAAACAGGAAACAAATTACATTCTTGAGTGTAATACAACCCTGTAGCACAGTTATCCATATTTACCTGACACATACCGGGAAGTTTTAAAAATATTAATCCCAAGCCCCGGAGGGAGCCTTTCCTCCAAACAGTACCTCTCCTTCGGGAGGGGCTGGGTTTATTGCTCGGTGACTGAGGCGTTCCCAAAAGGGGAAGTGCTGTGGAGGTTTGGGCAATTTTTCCACGGTTTTACCGTTAAACCAATTTTAGACTACGACCTTGTGTCACATTCGGTAACGACGTAGGCATGCTGAAAAATAACCCTGGTACATACCGGGAAGTTTAAAAAAATATTAAGCCTCAATTCCAGGGAAGCCTTCCCCACAAGGAGTACCTCTCCTTGGGAAGGGGTAGGATTTGTTGCCAGGAGACTGTGGCGTCCCCAAA